TGACTTTTCATTAAGATACCCACTACCTAAACCTAACATTTCACACCGTGTGCCCTGGGGTGTGGGGTGAGCGGCCCCTGGCCTGGCGCTCCTGACTGTGTCGCCGCCTCCCGGTTGGATCAGCCCCCGAGCGTGTGCGGGGAGGGGCGGGCAGGCAGGGTCACCTTTTCTCAGGAGCTGTTACTGGGTTCGTGGTTCCCATTAAGCCAGGTGAGTACGTGGTCAAGGCTCAACGGTTAGGCGTTAACTGTGCTCTAGGAAGTCCTCAAAGGAGCCACAGTTCCTTGTAAACTGCATAGTTGTTTTGGTTTTTTACTAAATAAAATCCTGGCACTGACTTCCTGTTGTTCAGAGGGACCCCGGGACCCCGGGGGGGGGGGCGGGGGGGGGGACGGTGGCGCTCACTGCTTTCTCATTTTTCACATGAAGGGGATGGAAACTACCCACAGGTGAGTCTCCTTTCTCAGCTTCACAGGACAGTTTGCAAGCCCATCTTTAACCCAGTTCTGACCGGAGAGAAAAATTGCACTTTTATTTCCAGATTCTTACACAGACAGCTAGCAAGCGCTGTTAACTGCTTTTAATCAACCTATAAACAGCATTACTAGGAGGAGGCACAAAAGCCCTCTTTCACATCTGTCCCTCTGGGTGGTTTTCTAAATACCATCGTGTAGCTTTACTTTCAGCCTCACTTTGTTCCTCCATCTGGATTATCCTGTTTATAGTTAAACCTCTTACCTTTGAAGAGTCTGGTATCTGTATTTGCTTCTCAGTGACTGCTTTGGTCACGCAGCTCTCACCCCCCAGGCTGCCACCACCTCGCCCTTTTCCCTCCTCGAGTCGGTCCCTTAGCACCTCCCCAAATGCCTGTGTGTAGTTCTGGTTTCTTTGTTTTAAACATTCACATGATCGTTATTTAGACTGAAGGAATAGAATGATTTCTGGCTCAGAACAAAATAGGACTGTCTTCAGTTCTCTGAAAGACTTGCCCAGTGGAAGAACGACTTCAGTTCCACATAAAGAAAAACTGTTGGGAAGTTTAGAACGGAAACTTTATAGAGATTTGATAACCACGTGTCAGAGTTTGTAAAAAAAAAAAACACATAGATGCGAGCTGGCCTTGAAATCTCTTCCAGCCCTGAGTTTCCACAGTCTGGACGTAAGGGGATAGGCGTGTTCAGATCGTTCACTCCTGGTAAGGAGGGAAGTGACTGACACAGAGGTTCAAGCTGTGTGTGGTTGAGAATTACTCTAACTCAGATACCTGCCTAGCCAGGGGACAAAAGGCAAGGATCTCATTTGCCTACCGGCCCTGGCATCTCAGAATATGGAAACAGCCACGTGCTAGCCGGGCGCTCCCAGTGAGGCAATTCCATTAGCCTCCTTTAAAAGCAATAGTTGTCATTTAAACTCCTAAGTCCCAAATCTAAAGGGGCCACACTTACATCTAAGATGTCATCATATTACAACTAACTCACTTAGCAGCCTTGCTGTTAGACCCAGAAGCCCGGTCTGTGACAACAGCAGTGAAGGGAGGGGCCGGCAGGGCACTGGTGGGGTGGTACAGGGGACACTGTTTATATTCACAAGGCCACGTGGTCCAGGCATAGCGAACAGCAGCCACGGTGCCAGGACAAGACTTGATGTTCAGGGCCAGGGTCCAGGTGGAGAAAGTGTCCGTGGGAGCCGGAAGCCACTTGCACCAATGGTCACTGCAACATGAGATCTAAACAGGAGAGTCACACGCAAATGAGGACAGTTAGAAGGCTATTCCAGGACAGAACTGCTGTATCAGACAGACGGAAAGGAGAGAAGGGGCCACTCTTAGCTGAGGACACGTTTCCTACAATAACCAGAACCAACCTGAGTCCAGGTTGGGTCTGATCAACACAGCCACGGGTCGATAATAAAAATTCACATGAAGAGTAAGTCAACAAATAAAACATTAGATGACTGAAGGAGACCAGCATAATCCCATGAAGCAAGTAGGGAAGGCGCCCTGAACGCTGATCCTCCCTCCTGATGGCAAAGCAGGCAGGATGGAGGGAGAGAAGCCCACCGGCCCCTGGGCTGCTCCTTGGCTCGCAGAGGAGCTGGGGAATGAAGGAAGCTGGGATGATGAGCTGTTCCCAAGTCAGAAAGCAGTGAGTCCAGGTCAGACGGTGGGCACGGCCAGCAGCTGACCGAAGAGGAGAACTCAGTGTGTGGGGCCTCCCCAGGAGCTAGGATGCCCCTGAAATCCTGCATCCAGAGAAGCTAAGTGGAGTTCGTGTGACCAAGCACCCATAGTTAGGATTCCAGAGGCAGGGCAGCCCTGGATGAACTCCTGTGTAACTCACCGTGGTCTTTAACATTCTCTCATCCCCTCCGGTACCCTGTTCACACTCCGCCCCCTACAGCCTAATGGCCCCAGGATTCCCAAAGACACATTTCAATGCCCCATCTCAGAATGCCTCCACCCCCACCCCAACTACAGAAGACTCCTGAATAGCCTCTTGAATCAACAGCCCCAGTTACACAGTGAAGGATCCTCGCCAGGTATTAGAAGATATTCTAGCATTTCATTACAGTAACACACTAAGTGACAAGTCGCCAAGCTTAAACCACTTAAAGGAGATGCTAAACTCAAAATCAGAATTTACAATAGCGTGACAAAAAGAAAAGACATCCAAAGATGAGGGAAATACTCTGAAGCAAGCATCCTTTCAACAGGTAACATACAGAAAAAGCTGCAGGCCCTGAGCCGGGACGGTTGCTCTGGGAGGGAAAAGACAAGGAACATCAATCTAATGTGGACTCACTTTCCCTTCCTTGATTGTTCTGTCTGTCAAAATTGCCTCTAAGCGAATGAATTAATAGCTGTTTATTTGTCGCTCGGAGGTAGACTCAGTGCCCCACGAACCAAGACCTGCCTCATAGAAATGCTGCAGTTAGAGATGGGCCTCAGTGCGGAGGAAATCCTGAGCCCCAATATCCTCACCTCAAATGTCTTGTTGTCCTGCCTCTGCACCTGGATTTCCTGGGAATACGTGAGGTTGAGCAGCCCCTGGCTGGCCAAGAGTTCGATATTCTGAGGCACCGGTCCCTGAAAGATCACCTTCTCACCATAAGCCACGGCTCGCGCCCCCAGGTGCAGCCGGTAGGCCACAGTCTGCTTATCTCGAGGGTGGATGCTGCAAGATAAAGAACAGCGGAGAATTTGGGTTTCAGCTCAACAATAGTGACTTAAGAAACAAAAAAAAACTATTACACAAAGCACCCTTTAAGAACTTAAGAATAAAGCTGATTGAATCTAAACAGCCAGTGATCAGTGACTAGTCAACTTACGAGAAATGGTGGAAGGAAGCCATGATGGGAGTCCGGGCCTTCTGTGAGTCAGAGACCTGGAAATAACTGAGGACTTGGAAGGAAGGAATAAAGGGGGTGGGGGGAGGGCGGGCACTGCAGCTAACCTGGGAGAGCTCACAGAAGACAGTTCCGACCACTAGAAGGCCTGTGTTTCATCTGAATCAGCTGTTCGTTACTTGGTCCCCTCCAGGTTTTATTCGTTCATTCAATACACATTCACTCACTCAGAAATAAATATTCACACAAGCTCCCACTGTAATCCAGACACTGTGCTGGGCTCCACTGCACACTGAAATCCCCTTGTACCCTCAGCGAGCGTGCGGTAGTCGTCGGGGCGATTCACAAAGAGGCCAGTCCTCCCGCTCCGGGCCCACGACAGAATTCCGTCTCTGCTATCCCTGAGGACAGGCTTTGGCTTTGGCCTGTCCTCGGGGAGAGCAGGAGCAGGACTTGCTTTGGCCAATGAGGTGGAAGCAGAAGCCACCTGTGTTGCTTTAGGCAGAAGCACCTAATTGCCCATGTGAGACCTAAGTGACTGTGGAAGCACAGATGGCCCTGGGCCTCTGTCGCCCTGGATCTGTGAAGGACTATGACAGCAGAGCCTCTCTGTTGACCATCTTCAGACAGACAGTGTGAGCAAGAAATAAGGTTCTGTTACATCAAGGCACTGAGACGCTGAGGGTTCCTAAACACGCAGCATCAATGATGGATAGATCATGCTTCTAAGGTCCGATCCTTAGGACACCTACTCTCTGCCCCCGACAAGTGGACAGCAGAGCGAAGGCCACAGACAAAGAACATATATTATTGTTCAGGCAAAGCCCAGGAAGCACCCACCTGCCAAAAGGCGAATCCCTGTCACAGAGATCCATAGCTACAGCCATGAAAGTTCTGGGCATCATTACGTTGGGGACAGAGCCAAAGTCTGCTGTTTGATGCCAACGGATCTGGGGAAATCCATCATCAGAGGTTGCACCAGACAAATAGGAAGATAACTAGAAAGCAGAGATTGTTGCATCAGAATTTTATTGTGTCAGAAGAAAGTCTTTGTCACAATTAGACTCTGCTTCTGCTTCATTCATTCATTCATATCCTCATTCTACAAGCACTTCCTGAGCCTCTCACCCTTGTGGCCGAGCCTCTGATCCCACACGCCACAATGCACCCCCACCACCCCTCTCAGCAGGAGGTGGCCTGCTTCTCCTCCCGCAGGCCCTGCGCTCGGCCTGTTGATTTTCTCTGACGAACAGAAGGCAGCAGAAGTGATGTTGTGCTGCTTCTGAGTCTTGGCCTCCAGAGCCCTGCCTTCTGATTTCATTTTCTTGGGACCCTAAGATGGCCGTGAAACAAAAGTCCAGCTACCCTGCTGGAGAAATTATGCAGAGAAAGCAGCCTTAGAAATTGGAAGGTCATGAGGAGAGAGAGGAGTCAATATCCCAGGCGTCCCAGCTGAGGGGCCAGTCATGTGAATTCTAGATCCTTCAGCTCCAACTGCAGGCCCAGCTGATGTCACAGAGCAGAGGTTAGCCAGCCCAGCCGGGCCCTGCCTGGCCAACCCAAGGAATCCTGAGTAAACACAATGGTTGACGTTGTAAGCCCCCAGGTTTGGGGGAATCTGTTACAGAGCAACAGGGAGCTGGTACCTCTGTGTGTGACACAGAGCAAAGCACTGCAGGGAAGCAGAGAGGACTCTGCCCGACCGTGTGGCCAACTGCATCAAAGACCCCAGTTCTCCATACCTTCCGACAGCCACACCCTCTTCCACGTGGCTTTGTGGTTTTTCCCACTGAGAGTACATCTCTCTACCACTTGATTCTTATTAGACTCTCCTATGCAAATTGGCTTTAACATATGAAATGATAAGAAGTGCTGAAGCTTCACAATGAAATTTCATGCAAACGGGAATAAAAAGATCCAGTGAGTAACCCCACTTCTTTCCCACTCAACAAAGACTGAAAGTGGAACCAGTGCCATGTTGAGCATCACTGCAACAAAGCCACCAGAAAGGGGCTGCGGTGAGGACCAGCCTGAAGCGCTTAGGGAGAAATGCTAGTAACAGCCACTCAAGCCAAGGAAGCTGTCTTAAAATGGCAGCTGGCTCAGAATTCCTGTGGCCGGTCTCCACTCTCACCGACTGCACTACTGCCTCCTGGCCACGTGGGGGCGCCAGCATACTCCATACCCAAAAGAAATTGCTGTGTTTTTCCTAATCCGAGATAAAGCAGGGCACTTGTTCAGTTCCCTGCAGTGATTAGTAGAAACACTGCTGCTGCTGAAGGCATATAACAGCTAAAGAATATAAAAGTGGCCACTTCAGAGGACTTTACGATAGCGTCTGTAGTCCTCTGTGTGTTCCACTGTTCCTCCAAACTCCTTTAAAAAGCCTACTCCTGGGACTCCAGTCCCTGGCCTCCCGCTCTTCTCTCTCCCCCATGCTTCGGGTCGCCTCTCTGCTAAGGACTCACAGGTACACGGGTCTTGCCCTGCTCTCCCCACAGAGCCCGAGTCCCACCTCTAACTGTGCTCCAGTCACTGCAAGCATCATTTCCCAGCCAGCACTGGTACCAAGCCAGTTCATCTTTCCTTACAGACCAGCGGTCCCTGCAGATTTTCTGACTTCTCTCGTTAATAAACACTGACATTATCTAACATAGGCCAGGCCTCCCATGGGTTAACTCATGTAAAAATTAAAATAACAAAGCAGTTCAATATCTTGTTCAAAACCACACAGCTAAAGAAGAGTCAGAGCTGGGATTCGAATCTAGGCTAGACAAGCCCCAGACTATGCTCTGAACCATTACGTTACCTACCTGACTATTTCCCTTTGACGTCACACATTTAGATTCCTAGTTTTCCACAATCAGCCTACTGTAGATGATGATGAGGTCAATACCCAAGGCTAAGGTCCTTCTACTGAACCACACGGCACAAGTGCAGGGACCCGGTCTCTCGGATTCAGGTCGTTTTTCTAGCACCTCACACAGTTTGCGGTATATGTTAAGCATTCAACATATTCTTGGTTTGAACTGACTGAAGTCACATTCAAATAACCATGTACGTAGGCTGAGAGGCAAAAAAAAAAAACTCTCTCAAAAGACAAAATGTAGTTTCCACCAACAGTAATACAGAACTGGGGACAGGGTTGCTATTTTGAAAATAATGAGCAGAATAATCTCGTTCAAAATCAAAACAAATGTAAGAAAGAAAGAAAATGACTGTAAAGTAATTGTAAGTGGAAAGCAGGTCTATCAAAATCTTTATCCAAAAAAAAGGTACGTGAAATAGGACAAGGCCGAGGAGACAGGAAGATGGGGAGAGGGAGTGTGAGACAGGCAGAGGCAGATGCCTGGAAGTAGGTACATCCAATTCAAATATGAAAGCCTACTGTGTTTTTGTGTTGTAAGTTGGGCCTCGTTTTTATAACACCTGACTTGCTTAATGTCCTATGTTCCAGAAAAGTCAGGGCTACCACCCTGCTAGAGAGCCTAGGCCTTGGAGGGCTCACATGAACAGGTGAGGCAAGGCAGTTATGAACTTGGTTAAATATGTTTATTCCCTTTAGGCAAGGCTAAGAGCTGAGTCCTGCCTAGGTACCACTAATTAAAAGTATGGCTTCTCTTGCTATATTTTTTCATTTGTGTGTTAAGCCATATCCAATAACTGCTGATCAGTTAGGTCCTGGGAATATAAATGTGATCCAGGAAAAGACGGTCATTTGCACAACCTACATGCAAGCAAAAAGGAAAAGCAGGAGGTGCTAAGAAATCACCCACATGGGGTCAGGGGTACCAAATCCAAAAGTCACAAAAGGCTTCCCAACTGACACCCAGGCCGAGGCCCAGAGGATTAAAACTTGGCTAGGAGAGTATGGAAGAGAAAGATTGGTCCAGTCAAAAAGCACGCACAGTGAGCTGGGCATGAGTGAGAGCTAGGTTCATGCTAAGCTGGGAGAGGTAACACTGAAATGCTGGGAAGTGGTCATTCTCATACATGGTGCTAAGAGCATAAAAGTATACAAATTAGTAGGTTTCCACAAAGAAATCTGGGGACGTGTTCAAAGCCTTAATAAGTGTGCGATTTAACTTGGTAGTTTCATTTCTAGGAATTTATCTGATGGAAATAATTAAGCATGTGTGTAATGATTTAGCTACAAAGAAAATAAACATGACTGCTTATAAAAGCCAAATGTTTAAAGTAACCTAAGTGCCCATCTATGGAGGACTAGTTAAATAAATTACAATACTACCATGTTTCAGAATACTCTCCAATCATAAATTGTGCAGAAAACGAACATCTACCAGCATGAAAAAATGTTCACAATACGACACATGCTCACAGTAAGAGAAAAGGCGAGCCACAGCACGGGCTTAGGACGTGCATCCTATTTCAAAACCACCTAAGCAGAAGAGGTCTGCTTATTTCTGGATGGTGGAATTATAAATAGCTTTTTTTTTCCTTTTTTAAAATACTTCTTTAATGAACATGTAATTCTTTTTAATAAGAATAAATATTAGTTACTTATTAACTTTTTAAAGATTCCACTGTCCCATTGGTGAACTGAGATGGGACGGGGACTCCTGGGAAGAGAGCTCAGCAGGGCCTCGGCACGCCGGTGCCCGCGCGTCCTCCTCTCAGCACGTACCTGGACAAATCCAAACGGGAAGAAGCGCTCCGTCTGCCCCTGGGAGCCACGGTGGAAGGTTTGGCGCCAGTCTTCAACGAGTGCAGGGAACGTACAATTGTACAAGTCCCTGTTATAATTGACATTGGACTCCCCTAAAAACAGTCCAAACTGTGAGAGAAGACTGGAGAAGACACGGAAACGGCCCCACGTGACTCCCCCGTCTCCATCCACGCCCTCAGGTAGTGGGCCTTCCCGCGGGCTCTCTGGACTGGCCTTGTCCTTGCTCAGGCTGATGCGGCCCAGCAAATGCAACACAAGCAGAGGTTCAAAAAGCAATTTAGCTTTGGAGTTTGTCCCCTTGTGACACACCTGGGACCCTGAAGCTGCTGTGTAATTGACAAGCAAGTCTGAGCAGCCTGCTGAGGGACGCAAGGCCGTGTGAGGACTGTGAGGCCCCAGCAGACAGCCAGCCAGCCCCAGGCAGCAGAGGTGAGCGAGAGGCCATCCGAGGTCATCCAGCCTCCAGATGACCCGCCAGGTGGCCAAAGACACATAAATGATCCCAGCAGAAATTAGCCAAAGCAGCCCAGAAAGAAAAACTACCCTGCTAAGCCAGAGAACAGGGAGCTAAATAAAATCATTACTGTTTTAAATCGCTGAGTTCTGGGCTGGCTTGTTACACAGCGAAAGTTAACTGATCCAATGAAAAAAGAGCAAATTGAACACTCACCCTGGTACCATATCACCCCTTTCAGAGTCATGTTATGGAGTGGATGGATCATGGCGTTCCAGAGAACAGAATGTTTACTGGGACCAGTGACAAAATCAGACGGAAGGAACCTGAAATCAGTAAGATACACAAGGGTCAGGAGAGAGCTAGGGACTGATCACACGAGGGTCCCTAAGCTGGGCGTCTGTCCAGCCTTCACGTGGGGCGAAGTCTTGATGACAGTAACACAGAGTTAAACTGAACCCCTCTGTTTCACATGAAAACATGGGAACAGCCTCTGAATTTTGCTGCACGTTCTTCTCAGGATAAATGTATCAATCAGCATGGGCCATCCCTATTTCCAGATAAAGTGATGAAAACCAGAGAAGGGGAGAGTTGTGCAAAGAGTCTATCACACTGGCAATACATTCATTTAACAAGTACTCAATGGATGGACGCTTGGGTTGTTTTAAGCTCTTGGCTTTAATAAGCAATGCCATGATTATCCTCCTTGGAGCTAAATCATTACACACAAGCCTAATTATTTCCTTAAGATAAATCCCCAGAAATAAAATTGCCAGGTCAAAGGCACATTTTTGAAAGACTCTGAATGTATCCCTAAATTGTCTCTATGGGGTACTTGCATGAATTTACACTGTAGCAGCTGTGTGTGAGAATGCCCACTTCCCCACAGCCTTGCAATTGTCCCTTCCATGTCCCCAGAGACCTGGGAAGCCTGGCTTTAGATTCCGCCAACTCTATCGATGGCAAGTATTTCTGTTCAAAGTTGGACGTCCTCACTTCCCGACAGGCGGGCCTTTCCTCAAGATATACCAAGAGCTCAAGTCCACGCTCCTCCCAGGGGCCCCCCGGAACCGACACGGTCTGTGAAAGCACTTCACAGATCGTCAAGCTCTGTGTTAACGCCAGTGTTGGGATTTTATTAGCCCCTTCTCCACCTCCACCTCCACAGTATTCTTCCTGACCCAGCTTCTCCTGAGTGCGGCTTCACCGTCAGTCTTCTCCTCTGTTTCTGATTACATGTGACTTGTTCTTCCTGTGACCGTCCTTCCTTACAGGCCACGCAGCACCGTGGTTGGGAGCACAGACTGACGCCAGACGTTATCACTGACGGGTCGTGTCCAGGAGCAAGTTACTAAGCCTCTCTCAGACTCTGTACCTTGACCCCATCGTATGTTAATAGTACCCACCCCTCAAGGAGGCGTTGTGAGTATTAAGTGGCCTAATACATATGAAGTGCTTATCACAGCGCCGGGCACACAGAAAGCCTCCAGTACGGATCAGCGATGACTATTTCTAAGGAAAAGGGCTATAACCACTTCTTGACATATTCTCAGATGATCCTGGTGGTGATAACAGAGAAGATAATACCTGACGTGTTTGTGGAATAAGTTACACGCACTGAGTACAAGTCTGGACATTCAACGCGTACTTCACTCCCCAGCGGAGGCAGTGATCCTTCCCTCTTGCATGATTTTCTGGCAGGCTTTCTCCCAGGCTGGAGGATGCTTTCTTACCCTTGACTGCTGACCCCGCAGGCTTTCAGTGACCTTCCAGATGACCAGGCTTCAATGGGTGTCCCACCCCACGAGGAGGAGATCAGCCCGATGGGATACTGCAGAGTGTCGTACAGGTGACGCCCGAAGAGCCAGCACACGGCTGACATGTACTCGAAATCTCCATGGCCTAAGTTTTCTGTTCAGAGAAACAGTTACAGAAACACAGTCAGGGAAAAAGTAGATGGATACAGACTACAGCTCCTAGCTGGGTCCAGGTGAGAAAAATGGGTGTGAGTCCACCCTTGCACTCCCTTCTAAGACTTTCCAAGCGTAAGATAAGACTGAGAGGCAACTGTCTCGCTGGCAGAAAGCCAGAGCTCTCTGGCAGGGCAAGCAGGGCCTCCCCGCTGCTCCCTGCCACATGCAGGTTCCTGCGACTCTAGGAGTATTAACACTCCTCTTCGACAGGTGAGGGGCAGAAAGGGCCCTGGCCCCTAACCACCCTCATCTCCACCCTCCTCTTGCCCAGCATCCAACCCCACTTAACTCTGCGGGAGGGAACAAGAAGTGCGGAGCACGTCAAGAAGAAAGGTGTATTTTTTTCTGTGTAGCTTTATATCCAGTTTTATAGTGACGGTAATGAAAACACGGACAAACATGTGATGAGGAGTTTGGCCGAAAGGGGAAGGAGCAGAAACCAAAACCAGTGTTTAAGTGTTAGCATCACCCAGCTCACTTGTCCATGCAGCTCAGGAACCAGCACAGACCAGAAGGGGCGACGTCCTTGTTAGAAGAAAGCAGATGCGGAGAGGGCTGTGCACACACACAGCTGACAGGGTTACTCCAACCCAACAGCTATTAAAGAGCCACCGCGTAGATGTCCCTGGTTTGGCTCATGGAAGAGCCAAGCTCGATATGGTCCTGGCACTCAAAGTGCTGATACTGCGATAGTGGGAACTGAAATCAATTTCAAATCAATAGTATCGACTGAGCACCTGCCAGGTGCCAGGCACTTGCAGGTGACTGGGGCACAGTAATTACAGAGACACGGAGACTCTCCTCAGAGGTCTTACATTCTGCAGAAGGAAACAGATGTTCAGCTGAGTAAAATATATGGCAAAATGCGGCTTAGTGCGTTAAGAGTTACATACAAGTGTTAAGGTGTTTTAACAGCAAATAAAAGCACATTAAATGAAAGGCAGATCATGAAAAGCCTAGTCAACTGGCCTTCCCTGTGCTCCCGGAACGCTCTGTGCCTCGTGGGTCCCTCACGCCACTAAACCGTTAGGGCTCCATCCCACTCACGTCCCTCTTCCCAATGTCTGGTGCTAACAGAGAGGCAGTGAATGTCTGTTGGCTGCATCCCCAGCACGTAGAACAGCACCCAGCACAGGGCAGGACTCAAATATGTGTTGAATGAATTAATACTTGAAAACACAGGAGCAACTGAGGTTACCAGGGTAAAGCATGTACAGGCGAAAGAGAAAAAGGACTAGAAAGAGCACAAGGGGCCACGTCTGGAGGAAGGGACGGAAGAAAGCGAAGGAACGGGCGGGGAGAAGACGGGAGAGAAGGAAGGAGAGGAGGGGCCCCGCAGCGCAGAGGGGAGAGCAGGTCCTAGAAGCAGTGGTCGCGCTCGGGGAACAGGCTGTTGGGGTACGCAGAAGGCAGATTATAAAGGATTAGAGAGTGAACACGGGGGAAGGCAGTGAAAGAACGAAAAGATGTTCTAAAAGGTTTAACGAAGCAAAGGAGACAGGTGAGGTACCAGGAGAGGGGCGTTTGTTTGTTCCACTGGGTTTGTCCCAATACAAAGCTAAGTAAGCCCTGAGAGCAGGGGCCGCGTCTGTCTTGCTCCCTCCTGCATCCTCGCGGCCCAGGACACAGCCTGCCGCAGAGTCGGCCTGAAATAAAGACTTGGTGCGAAACAGCAGTGGGGTGAAAGCACAGAGCCTGGGGGAGAAGAGAAGGCCCTGGAGGAGGGAGGAGCCCACATCAGAGGCAGCCCTGAAAGGCAACAGTCAGCTGTGCTCAGACATGGAAACAAAGGAAGAAAGACCAGAGGAGAAGAGAGCGTCAGAGCTGAAGAGATGCTGGCTGAGCCGCCAGGACGTGGCCAGCGAAGTCGGAGGTCGGAGGAAGAGTCCTCTGCCCACAACGAGGGGCAAGGTTCACTGTGGGGTCTCGGGAAGAAACGCACAACAGGTGCCACGAGGAATGGGGGGACGTCAATAAGAAACGAATGAAAGGATGGGTAATCATGATAAATAGGTCAGAACCAAATGCAGGGTCACAGATTCCACGCAGGGCACCGGCTGGCCCACGTTCCAGCGACCACTTACCTGAGGTGGGCTTAGACCACGGCAGGTCGACCTTACGAAGGTCCTCCAGCTCCTCCTCAGCCTGGCTGAGAGACACGGAGAGGATGCGCACCGACTGATAGGCTGCGGTGTTCAGCAGCTCGCTTGTGGCATTAACTATCTAGAAAAGAAACGGGAATGTCATTTCTTACACCAACCTAGTGGGTGGCTGGCGATCCCACTGCCTCCTAGAAAACAGCACCAGCCCCTGAGCTCCTTCGGAGCCCTGAGTATACCAAAACCAGCGATGGGCTGCTCTGGGCCGCCTGGGTCCACCTTGTCCCACAGAGGCCGCGGGAAATCATGTCCCCAAGGGCGGGGATACACCGAAATCTGAGATCTCAAAGAGTGGGTCTGTATTAGGTGAGAGGAGCTGTGGGCTGGGTTTAGGCTGAAGAAGGCCGATACCTTCAAACAGAAATACTTCCATTCGGAAAAAGTGTCTGACAACGGAAAGCCACGGCATTAACTTTTTTTCCTTTAAGGGAACCAAAAAGGGCCTGGGGAGGTAGGTTTGTGTAATCCACACCCCGTAAGAGAAGTTTATTCAAAAGAAACGCCTCTGAGAAATGACTGCTGAGCTCCTGAAACACACTGAAATCAGTCTGCAAATGCTGACCTTCTCATCTCGGTCCCGGCAAAGCACCAAGGAAAAGCAAGGAGCATGGCACTTTGGAAGGTGGTGTTCAGGCTGAGAATAATCCCAAGAACCTAGACAAAGGAAAGGGTCCATCCAAAGACACATCACTTTTGCCCAAAGCACTTTATGAAAGCTCATCAGTTGCCAAGAGTGTGACAGGAGTGGCCTCGGGCCGGACGCGGATGTGTGTCTTCTCCGTCCGTCCGATAAAGCCTCACTCCTCTGTGCTCTTACACAGAAGTGCTGCTTCCTTCAATCCTGATTTTTCAGCGGTTATGTTTCTCTTTATTTTAAAAACAAGGTTATCATAAATATATTGTTTTCCTTTTTTATTAGCGTTTGTCTTCTCTGGTCTTCTCTCGATCCCCCTGGACAGTCTGGTCTTCCCCAAACAAAGGGCTAACAGGAGCCTGGAGCAGCCCAGTTACCCTTGGCCTCAGGGAACGAGAGCTCCAGCTGAGCCAGGACTGCCACAGCGAGAGGAGGGACGCTGGGACGCTTTCCATTGGCCGCTGGCCACAGTGTGCAGCTGGCTGGCGTCCCCCCCCCGCCCCACCCGCCACAGAGAATGCAGCTGGCCCTCCGGCCCACAGTGTAAGGAAACGTCGAGCAGCCAGGGTGCCCCCACGGAGCCTTTCATTGAAACGCGCTGCCCCTGGAATTGTCTTTTGACTGGCCACTGAGCCTGCTGCGGCCAACAGGCCGGCCAGATGCAAATGAAACGGCTCTTTTGGTCACAGTGGGGGCCGCAGCCTGGAACGCTCCCCCGGTAACCGCAGCACCAGCCTGGGAGGGTGACTGGTCTTCCACACACGGTCTCGGAAAATTCCAGAGGAAGTCCAGCCCTGCTCATCCAGGCTCTTGCCTGGCATATTTCATGTAAAATAAACATCAAAGAGTAAGAACAGGCTAATGCACTCACAGTATATTTTGGCAGGGAAATTATTTTTCAGCAGCAGGTACCTGTAAAAAGTCGCCTCCCTTGAAATTCAGTTCTGCACCAAGCGCTAAGGATCGTATATTGCTTCCATGGAAACAGTGGATGAAACTGCTTTCGCTCTCTCCACCCACACTAGCTTCTGCACCGACCGGGAGCTCCAGTGCCTCCTTGGCAGCGTGGTGAACATGCCTCTTGTCTTTTAGACCCGCTGCTAACACTGCAAACTATCGCAAGGCCAACAGGATGGGAGGGAGGGGTGAGGGGACTTGGCGTCCTCCTCTGTTGTTACCAGCACACAGAACTGGATCCAAAGCATTGGCTGGAATATTTCCATTTCCAAACTCACATTTGTGTCTTATTTCAAGCCAAAACTTGAAAGTCACAGAAAGTGTTAGCAAAAACGGGGGTGGGGGTGGGGATTGGGGGGGAAATACTTGCTGTACATGATGGCAATTACTTCTGAAACTGGTGCCCTTTCCCAGTATCACCAGGCCTTCTTGATGGAAGCCATTCCCCAGGGATATTGGCAGCAAACTTAGGAATAAAGAGATTTCAGGAAGATTTTCATTTAAATGACACTTGGTTTCCCTGCTGATGAAAGGGGAAGCCTTACTCCATCTGCTGAGATCAAATTTCATCTCATCAAACACCTCAGTGTAATTATTTTTCTACCAAGTATTGAAATGAGGATGTAAATGAATACCAAGGTATTTGAAGTCATTAAGGCTGCCGGGACGGGAGCGCCCCAGCGCCTCCCTGGGGACCCCGCGGTTCACCATCAAAGCAGCTGCTCACTGGTGTTCATTTTGTAACCTTTATACCACATTCTTGAATTAATGAAGAAACGTCAAGAATCTATTTCCTCAGAGAATCTTGGCACGAGGTCTGCATGGGGGAGCAAGGCATGGGTGAGAGGGGGGTGTGTGTGTGTGTGACATGCACGCACTGAAGGATACATGGAAGGTCTCCTTAGAAGAATTTGGATCCTTTACATTACTTTACCTTCTACTACAGAACAACATCGCAGTTTTAAAGTTGAGAGAATAACTATAAATAAGCCAGTCATCATAACTCCTGTGGATCTTTTCTTGTGATGTGGTGCCAGCCTTTCTCTTCTGGATTTCAATTTCCCTATTTGTAAAGTAGGAACGTGGGGATTGCTGAGATGTCAGAAAATGGGTTTCCTGTCTAACATTGGACATCTTCTTCTGAGCCTAACTAGAAATATCCAAGTCTTAAGACATACCCTGACTTGGGAGGCAACAGATGAACATTTAGACTTTCCTCCATTTATAAACATCTCACTCAGTGTTATAAATAACACTCGATTTTAAAATTCCACTTTACCCTAACAGCAAGATGGGCACACAATCTGCCATTTTCTTCATGTGACTGAAGAGTGGTTGGTTATAGTGAAAATCTTATCTCTTCAGAAAAGTCACATGGAAGGAGGGAAGGAAAAAGAGAGAGACACCGTGTGTGTGTGTGTGTGTGTGTGCGCGCGCGCGCACATGTGCGCACACTGGGGGTCTTCAAGGGAAAAGATGCAAAGGAATAAAGGAGGAGTCGTGTGAAGTACCCTTTTGATCAAAATATAAAGTTCTACAGGGGGTTAAGAGACTAGAAAATTGGCTTTTGGTACTGTCAGCCGCTAAAATGCTGTCTTGCAGACCAAGTGCATGACTTAAAACAAAAAATAAAAAATTAACACTTGGCCATTTCAGATGGAGCCTTTTTTTCCATTTCCCTGTATCTCAGAGCTTGTAGCCTTAGTTTAATATAGAAGATGCTTAAGAGTAAATTCTAGGCAGAAAGAATGTGTTCAGTCTTAATAATCAAAATCTGATTTAGCTTGACAGAAAGTGGGATGAGATCCCCTGGCACAGACTGCTATTGAGAACCTGACTGTATACAGACAAACAGATCTGGTCCATGCCTTCCTGTGCAAACAGGGAGCTGCAATTAAAGCATTAAGGAAAATACTGTTTTCCTTAATGAGTTAACAGCAATCCCACTTCTATATAAAACCATGCTTTCTATCATGAGATAAAATTGCAATTTTGCTTCTATTGACTTATGTTAAAAGGGAGCCCAGTTAAAGTCCAGTTTAATAAACATTTAAATTAAAAAGGTTTCCATATATTTGTAGGGCAAGGAGCAAGACTAACATTTTGGTTAGGAAGACATAAATGCAAGAATTTAGATTTTAAATTCAAAAACTAATAATGAAATGAAGCAGGTATGTCCAGAATAGAATCTTTTTACTAGCATTATTTAGTAATTGGTTAAAAAAAAGAAAAAGAAAAAAAGAAGAAACTATAAGACATAGAAACCCATTAAAGGGAACAAATGAAAGTGCGCATTAAAGTATACAGAACATATTAGTACTGATCAATAGTGCAAATTAAATAATTTATTCCTAAGATTCTTATTTACATAATGCACATCTTTACTGTAAACTGACCTTTGATATTTAAGGTATCAGTTAAGTGAATATCAATTTCTTGTTTTTTATAAATTTCTCTTAAAAATTAATTATTTCATGCTCATTATAGAAAAATCAGAAAATATAGACAAGCAAAAATAATCCCCATTTCAAATGTGCCAAGAACTTAACACATACTAATTCCTCAGGAGCTCTGATATGGAGTAAAAAATATTTACTAATCTTTCAGCAATATTTTTTAAGCTGACATTCTTTACATACGTCTATGAACTTGCTACTGTTCAACCATGATCCTAATACAAATGAAACAGCAATGGTCTCCCTTATTTTATTTTTAAATCAGATAGCTTCCACAAAACAAACAAAGCAATGGCAATTCTGAGGCCCAAAGCAATAACCCCATCAAACCCTCTCCAGAAATTCACTGTCTTTATTCTAGACTGTTTTTGTGTTCAATTAGAAAGTAGACTTGATCCCCATGCAGCACCAAGCCTTTTGTCCTACCACTGCTGTCTTGCTAGGATAGCAGTAAACAAGCAAGAGCTTGTTCCCTTGGTAACTTTTTCAGTGTCCTTTTTATCCAGCTTTACTTAAGAGACCTCACTTGTAATCTGTCAGAGGCGCCCTATCCTCTGACAGCAATGGAGACAGGAACGTCTCCAGATGAGTTTCCTCACTGACCGACATGTGACATATTGGCAGGGCAGCATTCCCCTGTTCTGTCTCTCTTGATTCTCCATGTACTGCATATGCCCAACCCCACCTAGAAGCCTACACGGTGCTCTTCCTCCTGACATTCTATCAGGATAAAAGAGCCCAGTGAAGCCTCTCTATAGTTATAACAAAGGAGGAAAAAAATGCTAGGTCTCAAAATTTAAGAAAAGTTAATCTTCAAAGGTCATGACTAAAACAGAAAAAAACTGACACTAACAGAAGAAATCCTAGGCTATGAAAAAGTAGAGCAAAAAGAGTCATCACTGGCCTATTACCCTTCTTTCTGTGTAAAGAAAATTTGATAGACAGATTTGATATATGAATATATCTGTATCAAGTTGACATATGACAGCCAGTTGAAGTATCAAGATGTCTGCAGCTTACCCTGAGGTAGTTCAACAACAACAACAACAACAACAAAATAGGTAAACCAAATATGGCAAAATACTAACAAATGTCAATCTAGGTGATGGGTATATAGGTATTTATAAGTCTCTTAACTTTTGTGTGTGTTTGATTTTTTTTACAATAAAAAGTTTAAGAGAATAATGACATCTTATACTTAAACACCACTTTTCAATTTATAAGGGCCTTTTAGAGATAAACAAAATAATTTAATCTTTGTAATGGTCCTGTAAATTAAGTCAGATATCATCACTGTTGTAGTATAGTTATTAAGACTAAGCCTCAGACATTTGACAAAATTCAACAAACTTTCATGATAAAAACTCTAAGACAACTAGGAATAGAAGGAAAATTCCTCAATGCGATAAAAAGTGTTTATGAAAAGCCTGCAGATAACATCAAAGAAAGACTGAAAGCTTTCCCCCTAAGACCAGGAACAAGACAAGGATGTCCACTTTCAGCACTGCTATTCAACATTGTACTGGAAGTTCTAGCCAGAGCTGCTAGACAAGAAAAAAGAAATAAAAGGCATCCAAATGGCAAAGAAAGAGGTAAAACTATCTCCAACTGCAGATGATATGCTCCTATACATAGAAAATCCCAAAGAATCTACAAGAAAGCTACTAGAGCTAATAAACAAATTCAGCAAAGTTTCAGGATACAAGGTCAACATTAAAAATCATTTGTTTCTATACATCAGCAGTGAACAATCCTCAAAGGAAATTAAAAAAGAAATACTATTTATAAGAGCACCTAAAAGAATTAAATACTTAGGAATAAATCTAGTGAAGTAGGTAAAAGACTTGTACACTGAGAACTATAAAACTTTACTAAAAACAATTAAAGATCTAAAGTAATGGAAAGACATCCCATGTTCATGGATAGGAAGGCTTAACATTGTTAACATGTCAATACTAGCCAAAGCAATCTACAAATTCAATACAATGTCTATCAAAAATTCCAACAATGTTTTTTTGCAGAAAGGGAAAATCATATCCTCACATTCATACAGAATTACAAGGGATCTTGAATAGCCAAAACAATATTGAAAAAGAAGAATAAAGTTGGAGGACTCACACTTCCCAACTTTGAAACTGACTACAAAGCTACAGTAATTAAAACAGTATAGTACTGCCATAAGGAGAGATATACAGACCAATGGAATATAATAGAAAGCCCAGAAATAAACCCTTATATATATGAGCAACAGATTTTTGAAAAAGGTACAAAGATCATTCAGTAGGGGAAGGACAGTCTTTTCAACAAATGCTGCTGGGAGAACTGGATATCCACTTGCAACAGAATGAAATTAGACTCTCACCTTACATACACTACACACAAAAATTGATCAAAAAGGATCAAAGACCTTAACTTAAGAGCTAAAACTATAAATCTCTTAAAAGAAACATTGGGGAACATCTTCACATCATTGGATTTGGTAAAAATTTCAAGATGACACTAAAAGCCCTGACAACAAAAGAAAAAACAGATGAACAGAACTTCATAAAAATTAAGAACTTTTACGTATCAAAGGACACTCTTTAAAAAGTGAAATGACAAACTACAGAGTGAGAGAAAATATTTACAAATCATGTATCTAGCAAGCAATTAATACCTAGAAGATATAAATAATTTCATACAATTTAACAATAAACAACCTAATTCAAAAATGAGCAAAGGGCTTGAACAAACATTCTTCCAAAGCAGATATACAAATGGCCAACAAGTACACAAAATAATACTCAGCATCACTAGTCATTAGAGAAATGCAAATCAAAACCACATTCAGATACTACTTTGCACCTACTAGTATGGCTATTATCAAGAAAACAGCAAGTAACACATTAGTGAGGATGCAGTGAAATTGGAAGCTTTGCCTATTGCTGGTAGGAATGTAACTTGGTGCAGCCTCTGTGGAAAATGGTCTGGTGGTTCCTCAAAAGTTAAATATAGAATTAACAGATGACCCAGCAATTCCACTTACAGCCATATATCCACGAGAATTGAAAGCAGGAACTGGAACAGACATCTATATATCAGTGTTCACAGCATTACTCACAATAGCCAAAAGGTGGAAACAACCCAGGTGTTCATCAACACATGAACAGATGAACAAAATGTGGCATGTACAATGGAATACAATCCAAACCTAAAAGCATAAAATTTTGACATGCTGCATGGATAGACCTTGAAAGCATATGCTCTGTAAGATAAGTCAGACATGGAAAAACAAATATTGTCTGATTCCATTTATATGAGGTACCTAGAAAAGGCAGATTCACAGAAAAAGCAGAAAAGAGACTACCAGTGGTTGGAGGAAAGGCAATAGGGGATTTATGGTTTAGTGGGTACAGAGAAAATGTTAGGGATGATGAAAAAGTTTTGAGTATAGACAGTGGTGATGGGTACACACAGCATTGTGAATTTATTTCATGCCACCAAATTGTATGCTTACCAGTGGTTGAAATGATAAATACTATGTTACATCCATTTTAACCACAATTTTTAAAAATCATGTTTTAAAAACAAAGTCTCATAAACATCAAGTGATTTACTCCAAGCCATATAACTAGTAAGAGGCAAAGCCAACATTCAGTCTCAATTTTTTAATCTCCATGACAACAAAAGACAGGGTATGTTAGCTGCTCAGCATTAAAACAAAATCTAATTGTTTGCATTCTCTAGGCTCTCTCCAGAAGCTCATCTTCTAAGACCAACCAAGAGGAAGAGTAATCTACTTTGCCTTCAATTTGATATGAAGTCTCCATCACCATCAGATGTTCTCTAGCCTCTGCCTTTAGCCCAGGAAGGTGAGAAAACAGTGCCCTGCACACTGACAGCACACTAGCCATGACTAAGAAAGCAGGCTCTGGGCTCGCATTCATGTCCTGGGTCCACTATTAACGCTGTGACCGTAGGCAGGGAACTTAACCTCAGCTGGGGCAGTTTCCTCATCTGTGATATGAATAACACTGCTGACCCCATAAAGTTGTTAAATCTAATTAATTAATGCGTGCAAAGAAAGCCCTTGGAACAGATCTTGGCACATGGCAGAACAAGGAGGTTTCTATCTCCTCCTCCTTGTCCCCTTCCTCCTCCTCCTCCTTTTTCTTTTCATCAGCATTATTACTGAGACTCAGCAAATTACCTGTGAAACTGTCATCTGCATGTTACTCTGTCCACTGCAAAGCCAGACATCTCCAAATAAGACATTTTGAACTCTCAGGGTGAAGTTCATTCTCTCAAAAGTCTGTTGTGCCATCAGTTCATAAGGTCCACCAGGCCTCATAGGATCCAGTACCACCGTCCAACTATTAGAGTGCACTGAAACAATAACAAGGCACTAAGGAATTAGTCAATCAATTAACCAAAATGAAATTAAAGCCCAGTCCCGCTGTGCATCAGACTCATATGTGACTACTCCTAGTTTCTGTGATGAACTGAATTCAAAACTATGAAGATTGGACAAATTTCGGACAAATGTATAAAAATAACAAAAGCAGCTATCTTTAATCCATACCAATCCCTCATTTAAAAAAAACACTTTTTTTTAAATTTGGGGGGGTTATTAAGTTTATCTATTTATTTTTTTAATGGAGGTACTGGTGATTGAACCCAGGACCTCGCACACACTAAGCACATGTTCTACCACTGAGCTATACCCTCCCCTTCATCCCTCCTTACTTTTAACTGAACCATTTGCAAGAAAAATAAGTCACCCAATTATAGTTTTAAATGAGGATAAACAAACATATACAGAGATTAAAATTCAAGGAAGTTTAATAAAAAATACATAAAAGAGAAATTTTACTATACTATCCAACTGTCAATATTAACATAATCATAATCTAATAGATTTACACAGCGCCCGCCCAAACTAACTTGTAATTATCCAATCAGATGTGAACACAGGTTAGAGAAAATCATTTATAATCTCAAACTTCCGCTTACTTGATGTATCATCCTTGTCATCCATCCCCCCAACTCTTTCCCATGTCGCTTTCAAAGATTAATGCTACCATGACTCTGGGTTCTCCTATCAACAGTTAAACAATGTGAGTGGAGAAACTGACCCATAAAGAACTGTGGGAGGCGTATAAATTAATCTCTTTTTGAAGAAGATACTTAGGTTCGCCCAATTAATTATTTTCACAGAGTTATTTACCAGACCTAAGGTTTTCGGACTCAATTAGGGAGATGAAAAGCTATCCAAGACCTTATTTCAGACATTCACAGCATATTCCTTAGGAACCACCCCCCTGCCACCTTCCTACCTCTCACCCACTCACACCACCACCACTGCCAACAGCATATTCAGAAACTTAAGAGTCTTCAAAGTGGCAAAATTATGCCTAGGAGAACCAAACAACAGGAACAAAGTTGAAGAAATGACAATGAGAAAATAGATAAGAGAGACGATCATTTTTAAAATAAATATTCTTGGCATAATGCCAAAGAATATGAACTGATTCACAGTTTGTGCCCTCAGATCAACGTAAATTCACAGGGAAGAATGGCAAGAACTGGAAGTGGTGCATCCTGAAGTTACTATACCAGCCGGGAAAAATAATAATTATAAAAATACTCGCCGAGCGCCTGCTCTGGCCAGACGCTGTGCTAAGTTCTTCCCAATCAGCAAGAGCCGAGTACAGAAGTCCAGATGCACAGCAGGAGACTGGGGAAGGCCCCGACCAGGAAGGGTTGCTCAGAGTCCCAGTGGAACTGTCCAAACCCTCAGGCATCAGTGAAAGGGGGCATGTTCACTCATCTCAAAAGCACAACCAATGGAGCCTGCTACTCCCACTCCTGAGAGGTCAATTAAGCCGAGAACCAAATGTTCTCTTTTTTTTTTATACCAGCAATAGCCAGACATCAATATACTAAACTATAATTCACCTAGAGCAGAAAAACCACTGTTTTGGAAACAGTGGGCAGCTAGTCCAGATTGTGTCGCACAGGTGTGACGTGCTCCGTATGGCTCTCTCGTCTGAGCAGGCAGACGCCCCAATCTGTCCCAACTACAGCCTTGCCAAGGTCTTTCCAGGCTTCTTGCACCGATATGTCTTACTGGAGCTCTGTCCTGCTGCCGCCAACATGACTCGTTTGTGATGAAGAGGTCAATCCCTAGCAAACCTAGGACAGACTGGTTTTCAGCCTTCTACTACCACACAAGCTTCCCAGTCACTGCTGTTAAGTAGGGATTTACATTTCGCTTCAGTCCAGGCAAAATGGCTGGTGGAGAAAACCACCTTAACCAGAGCTTCTGAAAGCTTGGCTGCCCAGCAGTAAAAACAACAAAGAAGGAAAGGGGGAGATTCTGGGGCAGAACATGGCACCACCACCGCACTACAGCCAGAGGAAGAGCCCCCTCGAGCCGAAAGCATCTGGAGAGAACTAGGCATCGAGATCTGAACCTTGTTCCAAGAGCTGCTCTCCTGCAGGAACCTCTGCCTTTCCTCAGAGACCTTGGAGAATTTCCTTCTGTTCTAGTCCTCAAGTTTGTTTAGTGTCTAGCTTTTTTCCCCTCTCACTTCATAGAAGAAAAATAAACTCTGACACAATATTGAGCATTAAGTAAACTGTCACGCAAGGCCGGGGAAACCAGATCCACTACAGAGAGGTTACTAATGGTCAAACTAACGCAAAAACTACTGGTTTAAAACAATGCAGATTTACTCCCATGTAAGAATACACCAAGGAGAGCAGCCTTGTGAAGACTGTTCCTCAGGCTGAAGGCAAGTGGGGGACACTAAAAGCAAAGGCGACCCACGCTTCACAAGGACCAGCTGGGCCGCAGCCTGTCCATTCAGGACCAGATGATTAAAGCGGTATGGACTGCAGGCCAATGGAGTCTGGCCAGAGATTTCACAAACACTGTCCAGTAGGTAATGAAACTGAGTGACCGACCATGAAGAGTTGAAGCTCAACGTCCAGCCGGCTTTCTGCTGCTTCTGAGGGCCTTTCTCAGCAACAGATGCCCTGGTCCTGTCCTCTGGGCCCCAGTCACTTGCTGCCTTGTAACCTGACTTACCAATCAGGGCCCAGGTTTCTGTAAATTCTCATTTTTGTCACATTCGAATCTCTGCCTCCTTGCACTCTTTCTTGTCCCATCTAGGGAGATGCATGTCCTTCCTTCACTGGATAGACACTGAGGATGCTCACCGGGTGCCAGGCACTCCATCAAGTAAACGGCAGACAGCAAACCTCAGCTGTGGGTTACACTGGTGAGAAAGCCGTGTAAACTGACTGGTGCTCTGTGGTTTCCCACCCAGTAGTTGGCATATCTCTCTGGTCTATTTCTCACTGTCCCTTTCTCTTCAAGTTCCAGCCATGGGCATAAGCAAAGAATTCTCTCCATTTTTCTCCAACTCCCTGACCAACACCCACCTCAAAATGGGGAGAATAAACAATCAAAGGCAAAAAATGAAAAGAATTTGTCTAAAGACACGATTAGTCATAAGGCACATCATGCTTTTTTCTCCTCACTGTTCACATCAGATGTTAATTATTTTTCAGGTTATTGTGCCAATCTCAGAAGCCAACAAGAGGAAAAGGAAAATTATCCTCAACCTTTCTCTTCCCAAGAGGAAGCACCTAGTCCTGGAAGCAGCCCTAATCACTTCTCCCCCCACAGAACCCTGGCACTTCAGCAGCTACAGACTGGCTCAGTGATTTCCGGAAGTGACCTGGAGGTAAGGAAGCCCTCACAGCCCAAACCGCCCCTTCCTGAGCTGCATTTATTCTGTATAAAGTTCATCTCTGCCGTCACCAAATATAAATGTGGGGGAAAAAGACTTAAATATTTTTCTGTCAATAAAGCTGTTTATGCAAGTTACTTAAACTATAGTATGCTATGGCAGATGTACCCTAAAGTGACCCCCCAGCAGTCACACCCCTGTACAACCCCTCCCCTTGAGTGCAGGCAGAATATACGACTTGCTTCAATCAGCAGAAAATGGCAAAGGGGACGGGGTGCCATTCTCATGATTAGGTTATGTTGCTTGGAAAAAATGAAGTTCTGCAGATGTAATTAAAATCTCTAACCAGCTGACTTTAAGTTAATAAAAAGGGATATTATCCTGGGTGGGCTAGACCTAAATAAGGTGAGCCCTTTAGGAAGGTCGAGAGGTCAGAGATTGGAAGCAGCAGAGATGCTGTCACGGATTCCACAGGCACAAGGAAATGAATCTGCCAGCAACCTAAGGGAGCTTGGAAGCAAATCATTCCCTAGTCGAGCCTCCAGATGAGAGCGGAGCCCAGCCAGCACCTTGATGCCAGCCTTCTGAAACTCTGAGTAGAGAACCCAGCTAAGTGAAGGCCAGGCTTCAGAGCTACAGAAACTGTGACTCAGTAAAAGCGTGTCGTTTTCAGCACCCGAGTCTGTGGTAACTTATTATGTGGCACAGAAACAAGCATGCATGCTAACACTGCAACCAGGAGCTTTTTATTTTTCTAAGGGGTTTAGGCTTTTTGTATTTGTCTCCTTAACCTCAG